TGACCTTCTTTATGAATTTTTGGCAGTCCATAAGAACTCGGAAGTTCGCCGTCCGACACATACAATTTTTTATATAAATTTAAATCAATGTACCCCTTGTTTTTCCAATTTTTTAGTAAATTACCAATTTTCACAGTTATTTTATTAGTAGGATCTTTATTTATTAAATTGTATGTAGTCTGATCATTGAGAATCTCATACATTTTTTCCTTGTAACTTTCTCGACTCATAATTACAGTGGTATTGCCTTTGTCCGCTCTAGTAATTAGAATATCAGGATTCTCTGAGATGAATCGCTTAACCTCCCTTACACCTTCATATATAATTATATTTTCAGCAGATTTAATATCACAATTCTTAATCGATTTAAGAATTTGGACTGTTTTATTCCTAACATTTTTACGTATTTCATCGTCAGCTCTAAAAAGATTATGTTCAACGTGTTTGATGAACTCACGTATAATTCTGTCTTTACTAACTACGTTGTTAGGTAAATTGAATTGCTGACCTAATTGTAATACATCTTTGGCTTTTTCTGAAATTTTAGCATTACTAATATTTATAAGCCATTGTTCGTTAGTATTCAGTATATCAAATTTTGCATTAAATCTATCAGGATTAATATTAATACTATAAGATGAATGAATTGTATTAGAATTCGTAATTTTAGTTGAAACTGTTTTTAATTTTAAAGGTGCACAAAAAGTATCACCATTCATCTCAGAGTTCACAAATTGCGTAATATTATAGTTAATACTCTTGATATCTTTCTTGGCGAATATATTTGGCACACAAATTAGTGATTTTATTGGCAATTCTATTTTGTTGAGCTATTTTGATGAGCTATGTTATTAGGTAGAATTTTTTCTATTTTTCTACACATGCTGAACAATTCAGATTTTGTTTGCCCAAAATGTTTATAGGCGTCTTGTAATTCTATACGCAAATATTTGAAGATAAAATTGTGTTTAAGTCTGTCGATTCTTTCTTTCAAAGAATGGAACAATTTATTGTTATCTTTTCATGTGAATCTGTGCAAATGCATAGGAATTAGACGTTCCTTTAAACACGTTTTTCAAAAAAATTGTATTTGTACTCTTGTGTATAATATCTCTGATTTAATTCACACGTTTTTAAGTAATGGTTATCCTCTAAAATTCATATTTTCAACAGAAAAAATAAAATAATATAAAAAATATAAAAAATAAAATAAAAACATTGGAAAGTAGAACTAATTTAGATCAAAATCGCGAAGAAATTAATAATGAATGTGATTTTAATGAATGTGATGTTAATTCAAAGAAAAAATTTTTCACGATACCATACTTGGACAAAGTATCTGAAAAATTCAAAAAACTTTCACATATTCATGATTTTAATATAGCTTATAAATCTATGAATAAAATGAATACATTTATAAAGACGGGAAAGGATTCTTTGCCTAAGGATGACCATTGTGGAGTAGTCTATAAAATTAATTGTTTAAACTGTGAATCGTCTTATGTTGGCCAAACTAAAAGGAAATTAAAAACTATAAAAGAACATAAAGCTGACATAAGAAAACCTTCTTCCGAAATTTCAGTGGTTTCACGTCACCGTTTGAATGAGATGCATGAATTGGATTGGGATAACATAAGAATTTTAGACACAGAACAATCCTTAATGAAAAGAAGAATTTCGAAAATGATACATATAAAAAGTCAAACAAGAGGTATCAATAAGCAAAGTGACACGGAAGGTTTGCCAGAGGTTTATCTTCCTCTTCTTAAGAAAGATCTCTCTTTCTTTTAATAAATAATTCTAGAACTTTCTAAACTGTTGACTCATATATATAAATAGTGGTAAAATACATGGTATGACAAATAACAACACACAATGTCACGACAAAATTCTAATTGTGCAAAGGAGGTACTTGAGATTCATCGTTTAGTTTTTTTGCTGTAAAACAGGTAACGATTCTATTCTTTTATATTTCGACTAGAAGATATTAATGATATATAAATTTATTTTAAATTAGAATCTGGAAATTCTTGTTCTACATTTTTCGTGATATGACAATTGGCGTAACATTATTGTAACATTATTGTATGAAACATCTTCGCATAGAAAAGAACACGTTTATTTAATTACAACACACGACGGTTAAATTTAATGTCAACTAGATGTAACTCTGCGTTTTAAGAATATTATTGAATTACTAAAGATGGCCAGATTGTGGCCGAAACAATTTTAATGTTTTAATTAATGTAATAATAATTAAATATCACAAACTATAACTTGTGCTGTGGTTTCTTATCTTTTTATACGTTTTATTAATATAGTAAAATAGTCAATTACGCAAGAACAATGGTATTAGATCTGTCATAGCTGAACATGGGTTGCAACATAAGATAGATTGAGAGAACGTCAAAGTGATAGATAGAGAGAGGAAAGAGATTAGTATCTATGTATTTATTTTATTTTAACTCAATGTTATATTGACCTACACATCAGTTTATAATTTTAAATGTTACGTAGATATGGACAAAGACACATGTCTAAGCGACAAAGTTTATATAATTTGTAATTTTAATTATACGTAACAGGATGAAGGTTTAGTACAACCGGTAAGTTTTTTAAATTGAATGCATGTAGAAAGCGGTTTTGTTAAAATGAAACTTTGTATTTAGATCTTATAAATCTTGATTTGTTAAGAAGAGCCGTTCACATCTAATGAAAAACTACTTGAGGTTGACTAATTGCGTCTACATTACAATAATTGCATTTAAATTTTAGAATATTATGCTGAACGTTATACTGAAGAATGAAGATGGCTGAAAAAAGCAGCCGAAACGTCGGAAATATACAAGTGAAAAATAAAGAAGAATTGTAATGTACAATACATTAATAATAACTGTGTGTACTAACTCTTAGTTGCCTATTGTTTTTGTAATATTGGAGTTAAAATGTTATCAATAAATAATTGAAATGAAATTAAAATTTATATGAAGGAGTCAAATAGAATTATGTTAATTAATTAAATTGATTGTCAAACGTTAAAATAAGATTAACTAGAACAGTAAAGATTAAGACTTACTTATAAAGGGGGAGATCAACTATAATAAAAACGTCTGAATCGATTAAATGCAAAAGTAAAATGATCGGTCATAAACATTAAGAAACTGAGATCAAAGTTGAAACTTATTTATTTTCGTTAAATATATATTTTAATAGACTATTGTAAGACACGTCTATAGACACTCAGTATTTTTTTGTGAGTTAATGCCATTTCCATTTTATTTTTTGATATGTAATATCTCCGAGATCATCCGTTATAATTGGATTCTGTATCTAAAATTGATACACCTTTCCAATCAATTTTATGATTATGATTTAATATATATTCAATAATAACAGAATATCTAGAAGAATCCCATCTTATGTTACTTTTGTGTATGCGCGTCTTCAATTGTCTCTTCGTCGCCCCACGTAAAACGCGCATACTCAAGGTGCTTTGAACTTCATACCTTTGAGCAGGGATCGGCAGATGGATACTGCTCGCGGCGTCCAGTTGCCCACGGGCAATAGTTGAATGCGTTGGGCAAATAGTTAAACGTCTTTGGACAATAAATGCTATGAGGAGAAATAATCAAGGATGTCACATGAAAGACGCATTTTTTTTCTCTTGTATAATTTCTATTCATATGTAAATATGTAATAGGAAAAAATTAGATAATTAAAAAAAATAATTAGAAAAATAATTTTCATAGTTCTTTGTACAAAAATTATATATAATTTTTATATATTATTATATATAATTGTTTGAGATCGTTAATTCGGGAAAAGCAAAAATTTTTTCAGTCGACCGACAGTAATTGTCATTGAACGCACGCATAAAGTGAGCTCGTGATTTCATCTCGAGCATGATCTTAATCCTCGTTAAAATCCTCGATTTGGCATTCTTTGTTCTTTTTAAAACAATTCGGTACACGCAAACAAGCTCCGGCAACGGACAATTGAAAGTTCTAGAACAATTCAATTGTCGCACGCGAGCGCCGCGCTCCGACGAATACGTCACGCGCTGTCACCAATCCCACGTACGGATTTTCTGTCGCGCATGACTGTTACGTTGAACGTCGTTAGAAAAGAATCCAAAGTGCCAATCAATTTAATTTCATTTTTGTACAACTAATGCCACGTAATAATTACAATTGTGGCAAAATTTTATTGGATTTTCTCCCAAGAAGAAAGCCCAGGCCGAAAGCAATAAATGCTTCGATCTCGCCGTCCTCTTTCTTAGAGTCCTTAGAGTTTTAAACTTCTTAGTGTTCTTAGAGTCTCGCTACTATATCGCTTCGTAAAACCGCCGTGCTAACCGCTTAGTGAAAACCGCTATAAAACGAATCTTTTCGAGAAGTGCCGAGAAAATCGCCGAGATTTTCCATCACCGCGATTCCAAATACAATTTGGAAAAGGTGACCGCATTGAATATTCTGTTAATCTAATATTTAATTAATTATATTTTCTGACTTTGTAACTGAGCATATTAAAGAAAATTCTTTTGTTAAATTACAAAGAAACGGAGTTCTCTCTACTGTCGTGTCATATCAACCTTGTGCCGTTCTCTCACTCGAATCTTTCTGCGCGGTGCATTCCCGCACAATAATTATGTACATTTTTCTCATTTCCTTAACTTATGTATTTATTCAAAAGTAAAGCAAAGATTGTTTTTCTAATTATTTGTCAATTCTTCTTAATATTTTCCTAATATCGAACAGCGATTGAAAAAAAAAAGGAAACATATATAGACATTTTATACATAATGCAAAAGAATTTCAGATACTGTTCAAGAGAAGTATTTAAAAAATATTCTTTTTTATACAAAAATTTAGATAATTCAAAATTAATATGAAATAATAATAATATGTATGTTTTGAATAAATACTTCTTATTTACAACAATAATAATTCGTTTTTTACAACTTAATTCGTATTTGATTGATTACAATCTGATATTATTTGTTCGAGATGCATCCGAAAAACAGTTTTCACAGATTCGGTGTACGTGCGACATGTGGATTGGAAGCTTCTAGAACAATTTCAAACATTTCTAAAAGTTTCCAAAAAACAAATTTGACAATCACCTCGTTGATAGTCAAAAAAATATAATCAAAGTAGCATGTCGTACGTACACAAATTCCAACCGTTAAAACGGCAATCAAATTCGGATCGGTCACAGCGCATGCGCGCTCGCGTGGTGCGAAACGCATAACATATTGACACCCCAATCAGAATTCCTGATTTGGTGGGCGCATAGCAATAGCGTACCGCTTGGCCATCGCAATCGAGAATTGCCAATCGCTGCCCGAATCATGGGATCACTTCAACTTTTATAATTTTTCGAGAATCTCATAGGCGAAAAAGGAAGCCTTTGTTCTACAAAAGGGATAAAAGGCCGAATCGAGCTGTGATCCTTCTTCTTCGCTTTTTTCGATCAAAGTTAACGCTCCGCAATAAGTGCAATCGCCTTTGAGACGCTCCGCCGCAAGAAAACCGCCGCGTTCGACTTGTGATCGAAGATTCGCGTAATTCGAACTTTAGTTCAACACACCTTCTCGCTCAAATTTTCTCTCTATCACTCTCGCTTTGTCTCACTCTCGAACATTATTTGCGATATATCGCAGGTGTTATAGTTCTGGCATAACTTAAACGGAAATGTATATGACGAAGTATTGCGTTTAAATGAGAATCTGTTAAAAGTTCGCGCAGTCTTGATTTATTTAATTTCATTATAGAAAATAATTGTTCGCATGAATAAGTAGAGCCAAACATACTTATTATTTGTGCAACACTCTGCTAAAAATTCCAGTTATGTTCGGATAAAAAGTATTATATATACGTTCATATTAGGATATACATGGATAAATCAGTCTTTAACTGACATAAAATCCATTCAAGTAAATATTAAATCTAATTATAAAATCATTTCCATTTCATAGTACACAGTTAGATTTTCAGATAAAAATGTTGTCTGTTGACATCTGCAATTCCAAATACGTTAGGACATGCAAGGAATTTACGACATAAAGTTTATTGGTTTTTATCAGGAAATAATAATTCGGTTTATATATGTATTTCTATGTTTAATAGTGAATTGTTATAGATTTCTCAATAAAAGATTGATCTATTAGGTGTTGGAATTAATTCGTAGTGTTTTTAATGAAAGAATGTTATTTATTTCACATGAGCATTAAAAAATACATTAATGAAAGTACTTCCCATCACTTGTAAAACGCTACGAATTAATTCCAACACCTAATATAATTGCATGGAAATTTGTATTCAATTAAAAACAGATAATAAATGGAATTCCAGAGACTGATACATATAAGCGTGTATATAAGTACAGTGCTAATAGATATCTGGTGTCAAATTCCGTGTATTATTTATATTCGAAAAAAGATCGACAGCGTGTTCAAACTTGCGATCCATTGTACGCTTTCCTACATTTGTGAACATGGTGAGGGTTGAAAATTCTTGACTGGTAGGCTTCGGATTTTATATACATTTCCATGCATTACTTGTATACGGTTATATTTAGAAATTCTAGATTTAATCACTGCTAGGTGATAACTGCTCATCCAGTTTTGTTTTTCGAAATTATGTAAACACGATCAAAATTGGAAATTTGCGATTTGTAATGAGCAGTTTTAATATTTCCGTGCATTACTGTTACGCGGTGATGGAAATCCAAGACTCAATCAATGCTGGGTGATAACTGCTCATCCAATTTTTTTACTTTTTTTACTTTTCGAAATTATGTGAATACACTCAAAGTCGGAAATCTGTGACTTGTAGACAGCAGTTTTAATATGCATTTTCGTCCATTACTTTTACGGTTATATTTGGAAGTCCAAAACTTAATGATAGATGATAACTACCCATTCAGTTTTACTTTTCGAAATTATGTCAACATGATCAAAATCGGAAATCTGCGATTTAGTAGTGAGCTGCTTTAATATCCGTACATTACTTTTATGCGATTTTAGTAATTGAATCATGTATGTAATATGCTTTCAAGAATATTTAAAGCATTAGTAGTCGGATGCAAAAGTGTTAATATCTATTTTTAATTTTTTTTTGTATATTTTGTTTTTTGAAAAAATATTTTTTGTGCTTTGATTTGTATAATATTATATTGCGTAATATTTTATACAGTGAAAAGAAAGTTATCAAATTTTTGAAACACTTTTCAGAACAATGTCTTAAGGAAAGTACATCTTAAGGAGACACCTTACGTCCGTAATAAGGTGCGTCCCAAAATTTTCCGAACTTTTTCAATAGGGATAGGTCGGGTGGCGCCATCCGTGTGTTCGATTGCGCGTTTGAAAGGTACATCCCTAGCTGACTTCCAGTAAAAATTTCATGACATTTGGTTCAGTGGAAACGAAGTTATGGCGTCTCAAGTGTCAGTATGTTGTATACATCGGTACGAGAATGAACTTCGAACAAAGAGCCAATATTAAGTTTTGTTTTAAACTTGGTAAAACATTTACCGAAACCCATAATTTGATGAAACAAGTTTATGGTGATAATTGTGTAGCCCGTGCCAGTGTTTATGAGTGGTATACGCGATTCAAGAACGGTCGTGAGGACATAAATGACGCACATACAGGTCGCCCAAAATTGACAATTAACGAAAATTCCATCGAAGTTGTGCGTAATTTCATCAAGCATGAGCCAAAATCTTCAGTGAGATACATGGAAATGGAATTGAACATCCCCAAATCAACGATTTATCGCATTTTGACCGAACATTTGGGCCTACAAAAAGTCTGTGCACGATTTGTTCCACACAAGTTGACTGACGACCAAAAAATGCATCGAATTCAACATTCAAAGGACATTATTAAGGAAGCAAAAAAGGACCAAAACTTCCTTTATAGCATTGTTACTGGTGACGAGACGTGGTGTTTTCAATACGATCCAGAAACCAAGCGTCAAA